GGGAAGGCCTCCCATTTTGGGGCTAGCAATAAGCGGAGAGTTCTCGGAATAGTGGATCCGCCTATTGTATGCGTGGAAAGGGTAACGGAAGATGGGATGAGAGAGGCTCTGGGAGAGGGAACGCATCGCTAAAAATGACTCGTATTTTAATTAATCGTTATAATTAATTAGTTAGATAATTTTGAGTTTTAAGATTAAAATAAAATTATTCCCGGCGTCGCGAGAAGAACGTCAGTTTTTGTCGCTTCCCGCTACGCCAACTGGTTCGTTAGATATTGATTTAAAATTTGTTTATAAAATATAGCTTAGTCAAATGTTGTAAATAATTCATTCCTCTTTCTTGTTTCTAGAGTCATTTGTAAATAGAGTCGTCAGTAGCGATTTTGGTAATGGAAGAAATTATTCTCAATTGTTAATTACGCGTGTATACTCTTGCTAAGAGAATCTATTGAGCTTTCTCTCTTGCACGCGTATGTTATGTATATATCTCTCTCTTTCGCACTCGCACAAAGCATTAGCAGTCATATGAATTATTGCTTGCAGATCGGTCTTTCTCGCTCGTACGCATATGTGATCCTTATTACGCTCTCTCTTGCACTCGTACAAAGTATTAGCGCTCATATTAATTAATATCTTATTTATCCCGTGCGGACTCTTTTTAACACGCATGCTCTCGCTTGCACTCGTACAGAAGATAGGGCCTATGCCTAACCAAGCGGGTCATAGCCTTTCTCGCTCTTTCTCATATTAAGTATAGGGGCCGTAGGCTTCCTTCCTTATGCATATGTCTTTCTCTCTCTGTCTCATATTGTATAGTGCGGGCCATATAGGCGTTCTCTTTCGCACTCGCAGGGAATATAGGACCAAGCATAATTAGGTGGTTCTGTTAAATTAGGTAACTCGTAAACGGTGTACGGTGGAAATTTGGGACTTTGACCATGATTATTGTTATATTTTTTATTAATTATTGGTGAATAGTGACTTTTCGAAAATTGCGATATCTCGAGAACTAAGCGTCGGAGAGAGCTCGGAATTATACAGGGACGTGTAATCGGTTGTAAAAGTTAAAATCCTGAATAGTGAAAAATTTGTTTAAAAATTAAATAAATAAACAATAAGTTAATTAACAAATTTTTGGGTCGGTTAGACTCGTTATAGGCCCGGAATTATTATTAGGCTAGTCTGGGACTTGTCAATTTATTTGTTTATAACAAATTAAAAAGGTTAAACCTTGACCATCAAGGTTACTCGATTTTTGGTTATTCAGATTCGTGAGGTTTTGCCGTTTAATTTGATATAAGCATGTATGCAGTTTTTTCTTATAGGAAAGGAGTTATTTAATAGTTAATTAGTGGCCAAAATTAACAAAATCGTTCGGCTTATATTCTTGAAGATTTTAATTAGCTATCTTGTAGTGGGTACTTTACTATGTATTCCTACAAAATTTGGTCCCTTTATCGTTATTCCTTATATTTTAAATAAATTCCGAAAGTTTTTGATGAAGGGACAAGGACAGAGTCTTAGGCTCTTGCATTACGCTTACGGCTATTTGTGTACGGGCCTTTCGTAAAGAGAAAGAGAAGGTAGATTATTAGCTCTTTAGAATTTTATAACTCCTAAACGGTGAGGGTTACGAGTATAGTCCCACTAAAAAAGTTGTTTAACTCCTTCTAAACTATCGATTGGCTGAATACAATTCTATTGTTTATTATTAACAATTGTTTAAACAATTAAAGTTGATTTTTTATAAATTTTCTTTTACTGGTTTGTAGGTTTCCCTTGCAGGTTTGCATTCCTCAAGTTTGGTTTCTTCATCTTTATTAGTCTTTAAATAGTGAATTTTAGAAAGAGAGCTCTATGCGTCGGTCAAGGACAGAGACATCTGAATCTTTAGATATTTATAACTCCTGAAGAGTAAGAGATACGACTGTCGTTCCTATTATGAAAGATGCTTGGT